CTAGGTTGTGAGCTAGATCCCCAGTAGGGGGTGTGCAGAAGGCAGCCAATCAGTGATTCTCCGTCATCATTGATGTTTCTCTCTCTCTCCCTCCCTTCCTTTCTGATATTAAAATGAAACAAAACAAAACAAAACAAAAAACCTTAAGGTTGAGGTGAGATCATTGATATCTGGACCACGTAGAGAAATTATATTCTAAAGATTAAAAGAGTGAGATTCCATAGAATTATGGAAGCCAGTCAAAACCATCTAATGCAATTGAAATTACATTGAATTGAAAGTCAGGATCTATTGCCCTGTCCCATATGACCTTGGATAAAGTGACTTCTTTATGACTCAATTCCTCTTCCTTTATCTTTTTCTTGTTTTGTTTTGTTAATCCTCGCCTGAGGATATTTTTTCCATTGCTTTTTCAGGGAGTGGGAGGGAGAGGAAGAAAGAGAGAAACATGGATGTGAGAGAGCCACATCAACCAGCTGCCTCCTACAGGCACCCCAACTGGGGCCAGAGAGTGAACACGCAACCCAGGTATGTACTACTGACCTGGAATCAAACCGGAAACACTTTAGTGTGTGAGCCACTGCTCCAACCACTGAGAAACACTGGCCAGGGCCAATTCCTCTTTCTTTAAATGCAAAGTGAGTTACAATAATCTGTGAGATTTCTTTCATTTACATCATTTCTGGTACATGATAAATGCTCAGTAGATAGTATCTATTCCTAGTGGCAATATATACAGTTATATTCAGTAGGCAGCTTAGATACGTTGTGTCCAATATTACTTGTGGAGTTATAACAAATTCTTGTCCAACGTAAAGCATACATCTTTGGAGGGTAAGCCTAATGACATTTGAACTCATATGCAACCTTGAAACTTTTCATCTATAATGTCTTATAAACTAACCTTAAACACCACAGAAAGAATTCTTTTCTTTTTTAGTGATCTATGCTTAATGCTGGCCAGTTTTGTAGTTATACTGTGCATGAATGACAAGTTTTAAATATAAACAATTTTAAAACATTTATTTTTCTAGGGTAACTAGCTAGCTAGATAGGTAAGTGGATAGATTTATATTAATGAAATTATCTCCTTAACAAAAACATAGTATTTACAGATTTTTGTCAAAGTATTTCAAAATTTGAAATCAGTTACAGTGTACTCTATTATTTTAAAAAATTATTTTAATAAATTCTATGAAGAAAACTTTTAGAATCAGCTTTTCTCTACATTCTTAGAATTCTAAACCAAAACTATTTACAGGAAAACATTGCTTAACCTTAGCAAGGATAAATATTTTTAATTAGCTTTTACTCCAGACCAAAGGCATATATTTTTGTCAGGGCATATAAGTCTTTTTGACATATGTGTCCTATATGAATATTTATATAAACAGGCTAATTATGTATTACATGTATCAGACACATTTAGCTTATTTATATGTAGCTCATATTTTTACTCATTGACATAAAGTAAAGCTTTTCATAACTATATTTCTATAACAGGATACATTAGATATAATAAATTATATAAATGATATGTTCATGAAAATTATATAATATAGTAAATTGACTATTCTGAACTGCTAAATAGTAATAGGTGATTTATAAAATAAAATTTTTTAGAGTTTTAAAAGTTTGGAAAACAAAATAACTCTAAGTTAAATGTCTGTCTTCATCTCAGAACTTGACAGTCTTTAAATAGGCAAATATGCATTAACTCAAAATCTTTTTATTTTTAATGATTAGTTTTCTCAGAGTAGTTTTATGGAACACATTTTGGAAATGACATAAAATTTATACATACTTTTTCTTTTAGTCACAAAAGTTAATTGCTGTTTCCATAATGATCTCCAAAGGCTTTTAGAGCAGAAAATATGAATTGATACAGTGATAGCATTACTTTCAGAGCCATCTCACTGAACCATGGGAAGTCTTGCTCAGCTTTCTTATTCATTCTCTCTCTATTCTGACTTCTCAGAACTCTGCCAGCACATATGCTTGACTCTCAGGGGCCAACGAAGGGTTATCATTCCTTTCTCTCTTTTTTTTCATCATACATGTTGGATGGTTCCCTTGACTTCAACAGCCTCAGATGAATCAGTATGTGAGATACTAGCATTCGTTAGTAGATGCTGAATAGACGGTGAATTGTATTCCAAGAACAGAAGTAAAAGAAAAGAAAATTTAGAGGACTCAAAAAGGTAAACACCAAGAATAATCAAATATATTTAAAGCTTTATGCCTGTTAAACAGAGAATAGACATTATTTTTAGTTACACTGTGCGTGAATGACAAGTTTTAAATATAAACATTAAAAAATCATTAACCTTGGATTTGATGATAAAGGACATTTTAATTTCAAAAATGAAAATTGTTGAAGTCAGTGAAGGCTATATTCACTGAATTAAAAAACATGAAATTTTGAAATCTGTTCATTTGGGATATTTCTCTAAGTGCTCTTTTGAGATGAAGAGGAAAACTTCTCTAAAATCATGAACCTACTTAGCCCTGGGTGGTGTGGCTCAATTGCTTGGAACATTTTCCCCTGCACCAAATGGTTTGGGGTTTGATTCCCTGTCAGTGCATATACCTGGATTTTGAGTTCAATCCCAGTTCAGGATACAGGAGGCAACCAACTGAGGTTTCTCTCTCACTTAGATGTCTCTCTCTCTCTTCCCCCCAACTCCCTCCCTTCTTCTCTCTCTAAAATCAATAAAATCATATCCTCAAGTGAGGATTAAAAAATAAATAAAATCATAACCTACTTAAAATGAACATTGGTGAGTACTTTGCATATTTAAATCTTCATAACAGCTAAAGATAGTCCAAAGAAAATATTTTACTCTAAATGCATATGTTTAAAAAAGATTAAAAATAAATTTTCAAATGAACATATTAGAAAATAAACAAAAACAGAAAATACAAATATTAAGTCAAAATTAATATAAGAAAACAAAGTTAACCAAAATTAAAAGTGATCATTAAAACCTGTCTTTTAATTTGAAAATACCAAGACATTGACATTCATTGAGTCTCATTAAACATAATCAACTAAAAGAGAAAAACCACAATTAACATTAGTAATAATAAAGGAGTCGTAACTACATGTATAGAGGATATGTAAAAAACACTAGGTAAAATTTTATACTAAATAATTTTGAAAATACAGATTAAATGAATATTATTCTAGGAAAATATAAATTACTGATTGAAACAAAAACCAGTAGAAAGTGCATACCAGTAATAACAGAATATGATAAAAGGAAATTTAAAATAACTAAAAAGCATAGGCCTAAATATTTTACAGATAAATTTAATTATGGTAAATAATATCTAATTTGTTATGATAGGATTTTCTTCTTTTTAAAAAAATATATTTTATTGATTTTTTACAGAGAGGAAGGGAGAGGGTTAGAGAGTTAAAAACATGTGCCCTTGACGGGAATCGAACCTGGGACCTTTCAGTCTGTAGGCCTACGCTCTATCCACTGAGCCAAACCAGTTAGGGCAGGACTTTCTTCTCTTTTAAGGCTAAATAACAATCCATTGTACTTATACTTATGCACCACATTTTACTCGTATTTATTCATTCATCCACTGATGGACATTTCGTTGTTTCCATATCTTTAGCTATTACGAGTAACTGAAGATTAAATATTTCAATACATGTTGCCCAAGACCCTTCTAAAGCATTTTTTGTTGTTTAGGGAGAAGTATATGCCTTTATTGGCAGAGCCAGCTCCTAGAGCAGCGGTTCTCAACCTTGGCTGCACATTAGAATCACCTGGGAATCTTTTTAAAATCCTGATTTCTGGGCCTCATCCTCCGGAAATTCTGTTGCTTTGTTACTAATGTTGTGGCCCCATCCCATAACAAAGAAACAGAATTTCTGGAGGATGAGGCCCAGAAATCAGGATTTTTTAAAATTTTTATTTATTTATTTATTTTTTTGCCTGCAAACCGAGGCTTTATTTTATAGCCAGATTCCATGAGGCAGAGTAAGGATGTGGCCAAGATGTTTACAATGTTCTCGTGCTTTTGAATCTACTCAATCACACGCACCTGATCAAGCTTTGTTTACTAGCTGCACCTCCCACAACCCGTATCACTAGCCACCCGGAGCCGCTTTCCACACCACCTCAGAGACATTTCTGGATTTTAAGAAATAAACAATACACTTTATTTATTCAACAACTAGGTCATTTAAAACGTGTCAGCCACTTTCTAGGGCACCTTCCCGGGACTGTGGGCTTCATCGCAGCACAGGTACAGCGTCTGGGCATCTTCATCTGCATCTCCTGGTGCTACTGGTCGGGGTGTCTCTGGGGCAGTCCGGGAGGGTGTCCCCAGGCTGAGTGCCATGGAGGCCGCTGCTGAGCGCTGCGCCTGTAAGTAGGCCCGGACCTGTCTTAAGGGCATGTTCTGCGGGAACAGGGCTTCCTGCCCCCCCATTCTGACACGGACCATGCGGAGGGATCTCGGGCACTCAACCATCAGGTACTCCATGAACGCCTCCATGTCTCTGCCACTCGACTCCCACCGCTCCCGCCACGCGGCCCGCTCGGGGCTGGGCCTGCTGCGCAGGAACTGCTCCACCGACAGCTGGAAAACCATCTCCAGATTACTGCGCCGGTGTGGCTGCAGCCACGCGCACAGGGACCAATAGAGGGCCTGCAGCTCCGCCATCGGATGCCCGCCGTTGTTCAGTGAGATGAGCCCAGGGCTGGGGACGCCAGGGACGCCGACCTCCTCTCCCTCCTGGTTGACGGGTCTTCCGCGAGATCTACGCGGGAAGTTTCCTCCCCGGGGACCGTTCCCGGCTGGTTCATCTTGCGATGCCATTCTCCTCACGGACACAGACGGTCACGCTGGGTGATCCCGGCCCAGCGCTGAGCGGCTGTGGGGCTTGGCTGTCAGCGCTGGTGCCGCCCCGGAAATCAGGATTTTATCAAAGATTCCCAGGTGATTCTAATGAGCAGCCAAGGTTGAGAACCACTTTCCTAGAGGTTGTGGGTACAAGGAGCGGGTGGTCCCCTTGCCAGGGACACGATTTCCACCTGTTGCAGGTCTTGCCCTTGTGGAGCCCACCATTCCCGCGAGATGGTCACGTCCCACAGGTGCACCTTCACCACCTGCGGCTTCTCCGGGGGCCCCGCCTCCTTCCTGGCCACTGGGAAAGTAGGAAGCCCCCAAGGCTGTGTTTGGAGCCAACGCCGGGCTCCCAGGGCTGCCTCAGCTGCTCTGCCCCGGCACTGCTCGCCCAGCCTGTCAAGGTCCTCGCCAAGGTAGGTGACCTTGCGGAAGGCCCGCTGCTTCTGCTGCTCCACTTCCGCCATGTGTTGGTCCTTCGGAAAGCTTTCGTTGTTAAATATATATATGTTGTGGGTTTTTTGTGGGGTTTTTTTTTTTTGAGAAAAACAATATTCACTCTCAGTTCTCCAGCCGTTCTCACTCCTCCCTCTTGCCCACACACATCCTGACCCATTTCTTCCCGGCCAGTTCAAACCTGAACCTGGTTACTGCCCTTTTCACGGAAAACAGCCGGTGCGAGAGATGCAGGTGGAGGAGGCTGGAGAGGAGATGGGGTGGGCCCCTCAGAGGCTTCACGGGACCTCACTGGCTGTGTCAAACCCAGAATAACCAACACCTGGGCTAGTTACTCTGGGGAGGGACAGGGAGGCGGTCTTGTGGAAAGTTGCACAATTCTCTCATGTTGGGAGGTGGAGAAAGTCGAGGCACGGTGAGTCTCACTCACGTTGTCAAAAAAAAAAACCAACAAAACTTAATTTGAGTGTTGTCAAGTCATGGACACTGAGAGGGATTGTGAGGGGATGAGCAGTTGGTAAGAATGAAGTGTGGGTTCATCATGCTCATTCAGACTGTTAAACACAACAATTAAGCACTGAGTTGTTTTTGACTGTTTTCCAACTCAATATTGGTTTAAACATAAAGGTGTCTAGTTTAATTTAGAAATAAATCATGAACAGGATAAATATATGCAGTTTGTTTTTAAACTACAAATATATTTCCTAATATCAGATCATGATCACAAGTATTTTGCCACAATATGTGGTGTTATTTCAGCCTACCTTTCAGTTACATTCAATATCTCAACTAAACATAAAACAATCTCAAGTCTTATTGTGTCATCAAAACATGATTTCTTTCCCCTCACAAATGTAATTCAAGTATATTTTAAGAAGCTTTTTGATAAATAGAAAAGATTGAAGTTTGTCTTTATATATAATTCACTCAAACAACAAATAATGAGCGCCTGCTACATGCCAGGGCACTTTTGGAGATTCTGGGGGTTGAGCAAGGAACAAAACAAAATTATTGTTTGCATGGACCTTACTTTTTATTATATGCATGAATATGTGTATGTTGGCAGAAAAGACAACAAACAAAAATTAACAAGCAAGGTCTAATGTGTATAAGAAAGTAAGTGTTGTGGAGAAAAATAAAGCAGATAACAGATATTCAGGAAAGGGAAGTAATTGTAAGTAAGATCATCAGGAATAGTTTACTCCTATGTATATCTGAGAAAAGACTTGAAGGAGGTACAGGAGCAAATGGTGAAATTTTCTGTAGAATGCATATGCCAGGCAGGGTAAACAGTAAGCGCAAAGGGACTGAGGAAGGAGTGAGCCTGGAAATGTTAGGAGCTGCAGCAAAGTTTGGAGACTGATGTCAGTAAGCCCATAGTTCACTCAGATGGAGACTATTTTATTTTATTTTAATATATTTTATTGATTTTTTACAGAGAAGAAGGGAGAGAGACGGAGAGATAGAGTTAGAAACATCAATCAGCTGCCTCCTGCACACCCCCCACTGGGGATGTGCCCGC